GTTAGTGAGGAAATTATAGATCCATCGACCGACTTTTCCTGTTATTCCTTTAGCGCGCATTTTGTGCGCTATTACGCCATGGTCACACTTGTCGAAGGCTTTTGCAAAGTCTGTATATATTACATCTGCATTCTTTTTGTCTTCTAGTGCATTTAGGACCTTGTCGTAGTGATCCAGTAGTTGAGACAGACAGGAGCGACCTGTTCTAAACCCATGTTGCCCTGGGTTGTGTAACTGATGGGTTTCTAGATGGGTGGTGATCTTGCTTCTTAGGACCCTTTCAAAGATTTTTATGATATGGGATGTTAGTGCTATTGGTCTGTAGTTCTTTGCTGTTGCTTTACTGCCCCCTTTGTGGAGTGGGGCTATGTCTGTTGTTTTTAGTAACTGAGGGACGACCCCCGTGTCCATGCTCCCTCTCCATAGGATGGAAAAGGCTCGTGATAGGGGCTTCTTGCAGTTCTTGATGAACACAGAGTTCCATGAGTCTGGCCCTGGGGCAGAGTGCATGGGCATGTCATTTATCGCCTGTTCGAAGTCATTTGGCGTCAGGATAACATCGGATAGGCTTGTGTTAATCAAATTTTGTGGCTCTCTCATAAAAAATTCATTTTGATCTTCGACTCTCAGTCTGGTTAGCGGCTTGCTAAAAACTGAGTCATATTGGGACTTGAGTAGCTCACTCATTTCCTTGTTGTCATCTGTGTAGGACCCATCTTGTTTAAGTAGGGGCCCAATACTGGACGTTGTTCTCGATTTTGATTTGGCATAGGAGAAGAAATACTTTGGGTTTCTTTCGATTTCATTTATGGCTTTTAGTTCTTCCCGCGATTCCTGACTCCTAAAGGATTCTTTTAGCTTAAGTTCGATGCTTGCTATTTCTCTGACCAGTGTCTCCCTGCGCATTTCAGATATATTGACCTCTTTTAGCCGCTCTGTTATTCTTTTCCGTCGCCTGTAAAGGGAGCGCCTGTCTCTTTCTATTTTACATCTACTCCTCCTTTTTCTTAGAGGAATAAGCCTTGTGCATACATCGAGTGCCACCGAGTTAATCTGTTCTAGGCGTAAGTTTGGGTCTGTGTTGCTTAGTATATCTTCCCAGCTTATATCGGTTAGGACTTGGTTTACTTGGTCCCACTTTATGTTTTTGTTATTGAAGTTGAATTTGGTGAATGCTCCCTCGTGACTAGTCTCATTTTGTAATAAAGTTGGTAGAATTACCGACAATATGTAAAGTAAAAGGACACAAGTGCAACTAATGTGACATTTATTGTGGCAACGTTTCGCTCTCCAGGAGCTTTATCAAGCCATTACAAACAATACATGGACACAGAGGGTATATAAAGGCTCAGAGTGAGGTGAATACTAGTGAGGTACGATTCCGATGTTCACTAGTGGTAGTAGTAGTAGTAGTAGTGGTAGTGACAAAAGCAATTAATTCGTACATGGTAAAAGGATATAAAGCTATTACTTGGGTAACATAAAAATAGGTTGGACAAATATAAACTGGAATGAGGCAGGTTGTTCAGTGTTCACTCTCTGTGCTTTGTGTAGTATAAACAGGAGAGACTATGTGATGGCAGGGTTTACTGTTTTCAGGAGGATTCTTGCTAAGACTTCGGAGATGGTGAAGCTGCCGTTGTTTTGTTTAATTGTATTCGAAACAGCGATCAGTGCTGATTCAAGGCATTTGCGTGTGCGGAAATTAGTTTCTTTTATCACTAATTGGGCGTCTCTGAATTTCATAAGATGATTGGTGGAATTTCGGTGTTGTACACAGGCGTTGTTTAAGTTGTCGTTCCTACATGCGTATATGTGTTCATTGAGGCGGGTGTCGAGGTTTCTTGCTGTTTCACCTACGTAGATCTTGTCACAGCCTCCACAGGGTATAGTGTAAACTCTGCATTGATGGTTCGTGGTGCTTAGGTTTTGTCCTGGTTAGATCCTTTATTGAAGTGGTAGAAGCGATGGCGACTCTGGTGTTAGCTTGTGAAAGTACTTTTGAGACGTTTAGTGCAACCTGGCTGTTGGGAAGAATTATAACTTGTTGGGAGCGGTGTTGATGCGTGGAGAATTGATGATCTGAAGAGCTCTTTTCTTGCAGTCTTTGATGAAAAAAGAAGGAAATTGTAACTCAGTGAATGTTTGGTGAATGTAAGTACATTCCTCGTCAAGAAACTCAGGACTACAAATTCGGTATGCTCTAGGAAAAACCCGATGATGATGCCTCTTTTGGTCTTGGTATCTTGACTGGAATAGAAGTGTGTGAGATCATTTTTATTGGTGGGTTTCCGATAAACTTGAAATCTTAGGTTGTTGTCTACTTTGTGAATGAGGACGTCGAGGAAAGGTAGTTGTCATTGGACTCTTCTTCTAGTGTAAACTGAATCGCTGGTTCAACTGCGTTGAGCCTTGCCTGAAGATCCGTACATCAAAACGTTTTGGAGTTATTACGAGGACATCGTCCACGTAACGTAACCAAGTGACGCTTGAAGGGATGATGTTGGCGAAGTGTTCGGACTCTAGGTGTTCATGTATAAGTTGGCTAGGACGGCACTTATTGGGGACCCCATTCCCATGCCGTAGGTTTGTTTGTAGAGCTTGTTATTGAAGGAAAAACAGTTGAAGTAACACAGAGTTCAATCAAGTCAACAAAATCTCCGGGAGGTAAAGGAAGATTAAGGTCCTGGTTGACTTTACGTCGTAGAACCTCGATGGCTTTTTTGGTAGGTACTTTTGTGAAGAGGGAAGTCACATCCAAACTGCTTAGTTTCTTGTTACGGATGGAGAGGTTACGGATGCGGTTGAGAAGGTCGCCTGAGTGTTTAAGATGAGCGGGGCTGATGGTCCCCAGAAGGCAGGAAAGATGTTTGGCAAGAACTCCGGCTAGTTTGTGTGGAGCACTGCCTATTCCTGACGTGATTGGTCTGAGAGGAATATTGTGTTTATGGGTCTTGGGTAAACCATACATGTGTGCTGGTTTAGGGTTGCTTGGTAACAAGTACAGAAGTTTCTTCCCTTCTCTAGTGCGTTTGAGTATTGTGATGGCAGTAAACCCTGCCATCACATAGTCTCTCCTGTTATACTACACAAAGCACAGAGAGTGAACACTGAAACAACCTGCCTCATTCCAGTTTATATTTGTCCAACCTATTTTTATGTTACCCAAGTAATAGCTTTTATATCCTTTTACTCATGTACGAATTAATTGCTTTTGTCACTACCACTACTACTACTACTACTACCACTAGTGAACATCGGAATGGTACCTCACTAGTATTCACCTCACTCTGAGCCTTTATATACCCTCTGTGTCCATGTATTGTTTGTAATGGCTTGATAAAGCTCCTGGAGAGCGAAACGTTGCCACAATAAATGTCACATTAGTTGCACTTGTGTCCTTTTACTTTACATAGTCTCATTTTGTCGGTCTGGGGCTCCACGCATACATGTCTGAACCTCAATTATGTTGTGATCTGAGTATATTGTTTTTGATATGGTGACATTTCTTATCAGATCATCATTGTTAGTGAAGATGAGGTCTAGTGTATTCTCCAGTCTAGTAGGCTCTATTATTTGCTGGTTTAAATTGAATTTTGTGCAGAGATTTAAAAGCTCGTGTGAGTGTGAGTTTTCATCAGAGCTGCCTCCTGGTGTTATTACTGCAACAATATTATTTGCTATATTCCTCCTCATTCATGAGGGCCATTGGTGGAATGAGTGTAGCAGGCGGAGGAGTATGGTAGATTGTGTGGTGGGTAAATTTCGAGAGGATGTAGTAGAGGTTATGTTTAATAAATGGAGTGTGGTAGTGTGATTGTAGTTAGTGTGGTGGAGTCTTAAATTTATAGTGAATGTGGTGGAGTATCAATGGAATGTTTTAGTAAGTATCCTGGAGTCTTAATGGAGTGCAGTAGTGTGCTTGTAGTGAGTGTGTTGGTGTCTTAATGAAAAGTGGTAGTGTGGTTGTAATGACTGGTGGAGTGTGGTTGTAATGACTGGGGAGTGTGGTTGTAATGATGGTGGAGTGTGGTTGTAATGACTGGTGGAGTGTGGTTGTAATGACTGGTGGAGTGTGGTTGTGTGGTTGTAATGACTGGTGGAGTGTGGTTGTAATGACTGGTGGAGTGTGGTTGTGTGGTTGTAATGACTGGTGGAGTGTGGTTGTAATGACTGGTGGAGTGTGGTTGTAATGACTGGTGGAGTGTGGTTGTAATGACTGGTGGAGTGTGGTTGTAATGACTGGTGGAGTGTGGTTGTAATGACTGGTGGAGTGTGGTTGTAATGACTGGTGGAGTGTGGTTGTGTGGTTGTAATGACTGGTGGAGTGTGGTTGTAATGACTGGTGGAGTGTGGTTGTAATGACTGGTGGAGTGTGGTTGTAATGACTGGTGGAGTGTGGTTGTAATGACTGGTGGAGTGTGGTTGTAATGACTGGTGGAGTGTGGTTGTGTGATTGTAATGACTGGTGGAGTGTGGTTGTGTGGTTGTAATGACTGGTGGAGTGTGGTTGTGTGGTTGTAATGACTGGTGGAGCGTGGTTGTGTGGTTGTAATGACTGGTGGAGTGTGGTTGTGTGGTTGTAATAAGTGGAGTATTGTGTAAAAAGTGAAGTGACTGTGAGCTGGAAAGTAAAAACCTTAACTAAAAATACAGCATCTTTAGTGAAGGTCTGGTCATGGACCGGGCCGCGGGGGCGTTGACCCCCGAAACCCCCTCCAGGTATATTCCAGTTAAGGTGTAAATCACTGGAAGTGCCCATCTTGGTGATCCTACTTGAATAGTGAATATTAGTAAAGTTATATTTGACAATCCTCCAAGACCACTGGACAGTTATTTACCAAGATAATGATTGATCGCTTAATGCCACTTTATTAAACTTGAATATAAAAACTTCCACTGTAAAAATTACTAAAGCATAACAAAAACGAAATCTTTAGAATAATTCCTAAATTTTCAAAACGCTAATAATATACTCTTCAAAATCTTAGTCAGCTTACCAGTAATGTGAAAGACTGATTTGAATCCTAATCCAAACTGCCCAACTTTTAAAGGATCATTTTTCTTAATGCTGTCGCTAAGTTTACGTATACCAGTCCAGTCATCCTCAGTAAAAGTTCCATCATTGTAAAGACACAGTGCTGGACCCTGGAAATAAAAAAATATGATTGGCAAACCATTTCAGATAACTAGAGATCCATCATCAAGTCAGAAAAAATGAAAATACGTATATATAAAACAGAAGAAAAAGGGAGCAAATTCTTTACTTTTGGGTCGAGAGTGAAAGCAAAGGTTAAATAAAACCAAAAGGCAGAAAAGACACCTCCTTTCTGCCTTTTATTGTGGCAGTAACAAAAAAAACTCAGTTCCTAATATTAAACAATATCCTTATCACAGTAATATTCATCTAATGTTTGCATAGAATAATAAAATAATAATCTTTATTCCTGTAACTGCATGATACAGACCTAGCAGACAACATAGGTATACTAGATAGGAAGCCCATGGTAGACCTAGCAGACAACATAGGTATACTAGATAGGAAGCCCATGGTAGACCTAGCTGACATCATAGGTATACTAGATAAGAAGCCCATGGTAGACCTAGCTGACAACATAGGTACACTAGATAGGAAGCCCATGGTAGACCTAGCTGACATCATAGGTACACTAGATAGGAAGCCCATGGTAGACCTAGCAGACAACATAGGTATACTAGATAGGAAGCCCATGGTAGACCTAGCAGACAACATAGGTATACTAGATAGGAAGCCCATGGTAGACCTAGCTGACATCATAGGTATACTAGATAAGAAGCCCATGGTAGACCTAGCTGACAACATAGGTATACTAGATAGGAAGCCCATGGTAGACCTAGCAGACAACATAGGTATACTAGATAGGAAGCCCATGGTAGACCTAGCTGACATCATAGGTATACTAGATAAGAAGCCCATGGTAGACCTAGCTGACAACATAGGTACACTAGATAGGAAGCCCATGGTAGACCTAGCTGACAACATAGGTACACTAGATAGGAAGCCCATGGTAGACCTAGCAGACAACATAGGTACACTAGATAGGAAGCCCATGATAGACCTAGCTGACAACATAGGTACACTAGATAGGAAGCCCATGATAGACCTAGCAGACAACATAGGTACACTAGATAGGAAGCCCATGATAGACCTAGCTGACAACATAGGTACACTAGATAGGAAGCCCATGGTAGACCTAGCAGACAACATAGGTACACTAGATAGGAAGCCCATGATAGACCTAGATGACAACATAGGTACATTAGATAGGAAGCCCATGGTAGATCTAGCTGACAACATAGGTATACTAGATAGGAAGCCCATGGTAGACCTAGCTGACAACATAGGTATACTAGATAGGAAGCCCATGGTAGACCTAGCTGACAACATAGGTATACTAGATAGGAAATCCAAGGTAGACCTAACTGACAACATAGGTATACTAGATAGGAAGCCCATGGTAGACCTAGCTGACAACATAGGTATACTAGATAGGAAGCCCATGGTAGACCTAGCTGACAACATAGGTATACTAGATAGGAAATCCAAAGTAGACCTAACTGACAACATAGGTATACTAGATAGGAAACCCATAGTTATTAACACCATTTCATCATGTAAACCACGAGAGTCGATGAGCACACAGGTGCATGCTGCTAGGTGAACACCTAGGTGCATACTGCTAAGTGGACACGGCTAATAGATGTAACCCATGTGAGTCAGTGAGCACCCAGGTGCATGCTGCTAGGTGAACACGACAAACAAGTGTAACCCATAAGAGTCGGTGAGCACCCAGGTGCATTCTGCTAGGTGAACACGACAAACAGGTGTAACCCCATAAGAGTCGGTGAGCGCCCAGGTGCATGGTGCTAGGTGAACACGGCAAGCAGGTGTAACCCACAGGGGCAGGTGAGCGCCCAGGTGCATGCTGCAAGGTTAACACCCAGGCGCATGCTGTCAGGTGAACACCAATGTGCATTCTGCAAGGTGAACACGGCCAGAAGGTGTAACCCACTGTTTAATGTGCCACAACCCATCAGTAACGGGGTGGCACTACAGTGTGGTGTGCCAAGACTATTTGTATCATGCCAACACTATTGTGAAGTGTGCCAAAACTATTGTATAGTGTGCCAGTACCATTGTGTAATGTACCAGTACCATTGTGTTATGTACTAGTACCATTGTGTAGTGTACCATCACCATTGTGTAGTGTACAAGTATTATTGTGCAGTGTACCAACATTATTGTGTAGTGTACCAGTGCCATTATGTAGTGTACCAGTACTATTGTGTAGTGTACCAACACTATTGTGTATAGTGTACCAATACCATTGTGTAATGTACCAGTATCATTATGTAGCGTACTAGTAAAATTATGTAGTGTACCAATACCATTGTGTGATGTACCAGTACCGTTGTGAAGTATACGAGTACCATTGTGTAGTGTACCAACACCATTGTGTAGTGTACCAGTACCATTGTGTAGTGTACCAACACCATTGTGTAGTGTACCAGTACCATTGTGTAGTGTACCAACACCATTGTGTAGTGTACCAACACCATTGTGTAGTGTACCAGTACCATTGTGTAGTGTACCAACACCATTGTGTAGTGTACCAGTACCATTGTGTAGTGTACCAACACCATTGTGTAGTGTACCAACACCATTGTGTAGTGTACCAACACCATTGTGTAGTGTACCAGTACCATTGTGTAGAGTATCAGTACTGTCAAGTAGTGATAAATTAGACACATGTGCAACTCTTGGGTATCTTTAATGAGGAAACGTTTCGCCACACAGTTTCGCCACTGTGTGGCGAAACGTTTCCTCATTAAAGATACCCCAAGAGTTGCACATGTGTCTAATTTATCAACATGTCGGTTCTCTGAACCATTCATCTACAAACTGTCAAGTAGTGTAACATTATCATTGTGCAGTGTACCAGTACCATAGTGTATTATGCCAGTACCATTGTGTAGTGTACCAGTACCATTGTGAAGTATAACAGAACCATTGTGTAGAGTACCAGTACTATTGTGCAGTGTACCAACACTATTGTGTAATGTACTAGTACTATTGTGTAGTGACCAGCACCATTGTGTAGTGTACCAGTACCATTGTGTAGTGTACCAGTACCATTGTGTAGTGTACCAGTACCATTGTGTAGTGTACCAGTACCATTGTGTAGTGTAACATAACCATTGTGCAGTGTACCAACACTATTGTGTAATGTACTAGTACTATTGTGTAGTGTACCAGTACCATTGTGTAGTATACCAGTACCATTGTGTAGTGTAACATTACAATTGTGCAGTGTACCAACACTATTGTGTAATGTACTAGTACTATTGTGTAGTGTACCAGTACCATTGTGTAGTATACCAGTACCATTGTGTAGTGTAACATTACCATTGTGCAGTGTACCAACACTATTGTGTAATGTACTAGTACTATTGTGTAGTGTACAAGCACCATTGTGTAGTATACAAGTACCATTGTGTAGTGTACCAGTACTATTGTGTAGAGTAGCAGTACCATTGTGTAGTGTACAAGTACCATTGTGTAGCGTACCTGCACTATTGTGTAGTGTACCAGTACTCTTGTGTAGTGTAACACAATTGTGTAACTTACCAGTACCATTCTGTAGTGCACCAGTACCACTGTGTAGTGTACCAGTGCCATTGTGTAGCATACCAACAGCATTTTGTAGTGTACCTGTGCCATTGTGTAGTGTTCCAGTACTATTGTGTAGTGTACCAGCACCATTGTGTAGTGTACCAGTATTATTGTGCAGTGTACCAGTACCATTGTGTAGTGTACCAACACCATTGTGTAGTGTACTAAAACCACTGTGTAGTGTTTCAGCACCATTGTGTAGCATACCAAAACCATTGTGTAGTGTATCAACAGCAATGTATAGTGTTCCAGCACCATTGTGTTCTGTACCAACACCATTGTGTAGTGTACCAGTACCATTATGTAGTATGTCAGCGAAGAGTCACAGAGCTGCTGAGAGGGATCAGTAAAATAGTACCTCGGTATACGTCCTTAATCCGTTCCAGGACCTTGGACTTATTCCAAACATGACGTATACCAAACGGTTTTTTCAATAAGAAATATAGGAAATACGAGTAATCCATTGCCATGAAAAAATACTATTGTTTTTGGCATATTATACATTGATGGAGTTGTATAAAATAAGTTAAACAATGATTAACACTAAAATATGTAATTTAAACACTGCTTAATGCTAAAATATGTAATTTGAACACTGGTAATACTAAAATACATATACAAATACAAAAGAATTTAACCTCGTTTTACATTGCTGGAAAGAGTCGAGTGCCTACTAGGATAGTCCTGAGAAGGACTGAGAAGGACTGATTGAAGCTCACCAGGTTTGACTTTTACTAAAAATCTCTTCAAAGAACTTTCCTTCTGCCTTCTCCTCAGGATGTTTCGGAAATGTGACAATGTCTGGTCATTCCAGACGGCTTGTTTGGGCATTGTTGGGAAGTACTTCTCTGCAAAGTTTTTGACGTCCATCCATTTGGCAAAGATTTCCTTGATTAATGAAGTAGCGGCTTCCTCTATTAAGGGTAGCGTGCGGTGTCGTGACTCATTTTGATCCACGCAAGTTCTAGTATGCGAGTCGTATTCCATACAAAGGTCATATACCAAGCAAAAATTTTCTCGTCGAAATAGGACGTATTCCAAGTTGGAGATATTGCAAAGGGAGGCACTGGTTAATGAAATTGAAAATATTGAACTTAAGCTGAAGGAATCTTATAAGAGACAAGAACTGCAGAAAGAACTAAAAGCCATAAAGGAAATTGAAAAAAACAAAATTTCTTCTCTTATACCAAACCTAAGGAAAAAACAACATCCAATACTGGGCCCCTGCTTAGGCGAGATGGGACATACACAGATGACAACCGAGAAATGAGTGAGATACTAAAGTTCCAATACGACTCAGTGTTCAGCGAAGCGCTACCCAGACTAAGGGTCGACAATCCAAATGAATTCTTTATGAACGAGACCCAAAATTTAATTATGTCAAAAATCTTGGATAATACTCTATTACCACAAGACTTTGAAAAGGCAATAAATGAC